TGCCAATGTTGCATTTCGCGACCATAGAGGGATTTGGATGACCAGAAGATGGTCACTCGCATCACCCAAGCTTGTCTCCTGAACTGAAGGGAAGAGCCTCTCGCCTCGCCGAGTGAGGAGGCTTACCTTTATTTGTGGTCATAAGGGATGAAACATAACCCCGGTTACTTCACTTTTAGGAGGCCTACTTACGACGAAGATGAGAGTATCCGCCACAGCGAACCCGCGCTTGCATTCCAGCTTGAATTGGGAAGGCTTTCCAAGTTCAAAATCAAGCCTGTATTTACGGAAAATAGAAATATTCACGTTTACGAGGCAATTGGGAAAGGGCCAGAGAGCGACAAGGCCGTCGATAAACGATATTTCACGCGTGCTGTGGTTCGACCTGGGCGTCTGCGGGATGACATACCCACGGCGGAGTATCTTATTTCTGAAGCTGACAACCTGATGAATGACATCCTCGACGCGCTCGAAATTATTGGCAACAATAACTCCGACTTGAACCATATCTTCATCAACTTTACGCCCGTTTTCCCGCTTGAACCCGCTGACGTTGAAAGGGCACTGGCAGGCTTCCTGGAACGGTTTGGGCGACGGCTCTGGCGCCTTCGCGTGACCGGGGCTGAAATTCGCATCCTTTGCACGGAGCCTACGACTGGCATGGCCTATCCCCTCCGCGTCGTAATCAACAACACCTCGGGATACATTATCCAGGTTGAAATGTACGCTGAGCGGAAATCCGAAAAAGGAGAATGGATATTCCATAGCATCGGCGGCACAACGAAGATTGGGTCTATGCATCTTCGTCCCGTATCGACGCCCTACCCCACAAAGGAATGGCTGCAGCCGAAGCGATATAAGGCTCACTTGATGGGTACCCAATATGTATATGACTTCCCTGAGCTTTTCAGACAGGCATCCAGAACTACTGGAGCAAGGCCGTTGAGGAGCACTCCCCACTTGCCGACAAACGACCTGCCGTGGGCGAGTGCATCGACTACGCTGAACTCGTGCTCGACGATACTGATAACTTGATCGAAGTAGTTCGCGAGCCCGGAACAAACACACATGGAATGGTTGGTTGGATGATCACTGCCAAAACCCCTGAGTACCCACGTGGTAGGCGCTTCATAATCATCGCGAACGATATCACCTTCCACATTGGATCTTTCGGGCCTCAAGAAGATAAATTCTTCCACAAATGTACGGAACTTGCGAGGAAGCTGGGGATTCCGCGGATCTATCTTTCTGCTAACTCCGGTGCACGCATTGGAATGGCAGAGGAGCTCATGCGTCATTTCTCAGTAGCATGGAATGATCCCGAGCGGCCGGAGGCTGGCTTCAAATACCTCTATTTGACGCCGGAGGTGAAGAAGAGATTAGACGCGAGGAAGACAAAGGATGTCATAACGGAGCCAGTTATAGAAAATGGTGAAGAACGACATATGATCACTACTATCATCGGTGCTGAAGATGGTCTTGGTGTCGAATGTCTAAGAGGCTCTGGTCTCATCGCCGGCGCTACCTCTAAGGCTTACGAGGATATCTTCACTATTACTCTTGTGACCTGCCGTTCTGTTGGAATTGGCGCTTACCTCGTTCGTCTGGGCCAAAGAGCGATTCAAGTTGAAGGACAGCCAATCATCCTGACTGGAGCTCCTGCCATTAACAAACTCCTTGGACGAGAAGTGTATACGTCTAATTTGCAGCTGGGTGGAACGCAAATAATGTACAAGAACGGCGTTTCTCATATGACGGCCAACGATGACTTTGAAGGCATACAAAAGATTGTCCAATGGATGTCGTTCATCCCCGACAAAAAGAATTCTCCTGTCCCAATCAGATCATATTCGGACACGTGGGATCGGGATATCGGGTATTATCCTCCAGCGAAGCAAACTTACGATGTCAGATGGCTTATCGCTGGTAAGCAGGATGATGAGGGTTTCTTACCTGGCATGTTCGACAAGGATTCCTTCCAGGAAGCGCTCGGGGGATGGGCCAGGACTGTGGTTGTTGGACGTGCCAGGCTCGGTGGTATCCCCATGGGTGTCATCGCAGTCGAGACCCGGTCCGTCGACACCGTCACACCAGCTGATCCTGCGAATCCAGACTCGATGGAGCTGATTTCCACGGAGGCTGGCGGTGTCTGGTATCTGAATTCAGCTTTCAAAACCGCACAGGCTCTCAGGGATTTCAATTTTGGCGAACAGCTTCCTGTCATGATCCTTGCTAACTGGCGAGGCTTCTCTGGTGGCCAGCGCGACATGTACAATGAGGTTCTCAAGTATGGTTCCTACATCGTCGATGCCCTTGTCAAATATGAGCAGCCCATTTTCGTTTACATCCCACCATTTGGGGAATTGCGTGGTGGCTCGTGGGTAAGTTAAATTTTCCTAGTTTGCTTATGTTTTGCTTATCTCGTGTTAATATTTCGCAATAGGTTGTGATTGATCCTACGATCAATCCAGAGCAGATGGAGATGTATGCCGATGAGGAGTCTCGCGGTGGTGTCCTTGAGCCTGAAGGTATTGTCAACATCAAGTACCGCCGCGATAAACAGCTGGATACCATGGCCCGTTTGGACCCTGAATACGGCGAACTCAGAAAGGCCCTCAGCGACAAATCCCTGCCCGACGACCAGCTTTCCAAGATCAAAGCGAAAATGACCGCAAGGGAAGAACAGCTTCTCCCAGTCTACATGCAAATCGCTCTGCAATTTGCCGATCTCCACGATCGCGCTGGCCGCATGGAGGCGAAGGGAACCATCCGCAAACCTCTCCAGTGGAGGAACGCCAGGCGGTTCTTCTATTGGCGCCTGCGCCGCCGTCTTAGCGAAGAGCTCATCCTCAAACGCCTGGCGGCCGCTGCCCCATCTACCGGCATGCGCAACGGCGCAATCCCAACCACCGGCGTCTCGGCATCCCCTCGGCCGGCTCCACCAACCGCCCGCGAGATCAATCTCAATACGCTGAAATCGTGGACCGGGATGCTGGACCGGGAGTTTGATACCAATGACCGCAAGGTTGCGCTCTGGTATGAAGAGAACAAGCGGAAGGTGCTGGAGAAGGTTGAGGAGATGAGGACGGAGAGCACCGCAGTGGAAGTTGCGCAGTTGCTTATGGGAAATAAGGATGGTGGGCTCAAGGGCGTGCAGCAGGTGTTGAGTATGCTTCCCATGGAGGAAAGGGAGGCTGTGTTGACGTATTTGAGGTCTTAGGCTAAGAGAGATAATGAGCGTGGCTGGTTTGGTGTGAAGAAGTCAAACTGCATTTGAGAGAGAGAGAGAGAGAGAGAGAGAGAGTGTGTGTGTGTGTGTGTGTGCATGTGTGTTTTGATTTCCATTTCCTTTGATAGATGGGGGAATGGGTTTCTCTCATCATATTCATCTTACTTTTTGTTTTGTGTTTTGTGTTTTTTTTTGTCATGATTTGATTTGCTCCCCCTATTTGTTGTTCCTTTTATTATTCGTTTGCTCACTTGGTTTTGCAAGCCTTTCCATATACATATAAAGCAGTTATTGTCCCGTAGAATTTTCATTCTCAACCCCCCCTTGTGTATTTTCTGTTGATTGGACTTGGACGCTCCTCTGGTATTTTTCTTTTCTTTTCTTTTCTTTTTTTTTCCCCCTCTTTTTCCACAGTTCGCATTATGTAGTTAGCGCTGTTACATACATAGATCACAAGTCGATAATCTCTACATATATTTCTGTTCCTTAAGGCCTTCAAGGTCCTATATACCCTCGAATCTGATCGATAACTTCAAATCTTAAGCTAAAAGAGAGAGTTTCCGATGCACTACTAAGAAGATACGTGTGCCTATTATGCCTACTATCGTAAGTAGAATTATAACCGTTAAGTACATGTACATGAACTAGAAAGATTTGCAAGCAAATTTAAATGGAACAAAAAAACAAAAAATGTTACGCAAGCACGAAAAGTGTTTTCCACAGAGAGAAAATATGCTATGCCGAAGCACAGACACACTTAAACAATGTTAGGGACATGGTATACAATGCATATGAGTATTAGCGAAGGGAGTTGTAGAGGTTCAACGGGAACGATAACTAGTAAATGACAAATAATGATAGATAGGAATATACATGGAAGAGGGGGTATCATAAATGTGATAAACATCAAAAGGAAATTTCCCCACAAAAATAATAAATAAATAAATAATGCCAATTGCAAGAAATGAGTGGTCCCTGAAAAGAGGACTAAACGAATCACGCTAGCTGCCTCTCCATCGTATACGGATGACGCATAAACGGCACAACAACTCGGTACGGCGACGCAGAAACATCTCTTAACCCTTTCACACCGCCACCGCGACCTCGTCCCTGCTCATCCCTATCAATACTTAATCGGCCCAACTCAACCGGAAGCTGGTCCATTTCGTGGCGGGCCATTTTCCAACCTTGTGCCGTTGCCGTTGCCGCTGCTGTTGGGCGACGATCGCTAAAGGACGCGGCACCTGCGCCCGAGGGGATGGTGCTGTGGCTCCATACTAGTTCCTCTTCGCTGCCGGGAAGCGTGACGCTGGTAGCGCCTAGGGTACGTGCAATGTCCTCAAGGAGAATCTCCATCGGGGCTATGTAGGCCGTGCGGCTCTTTTCGGACCATGCGAGGACATGGCCGCATACCTGGCCTGTGGATTTATCGAAGACCCAGGCTCCGGAGTCACCAGGAACTAGCAGGGGGCGCGTTAGTATGATTTGTTTTCTTTCATTTTCTTTTGTTTTTATTAATTTATTTTGTACTAGGCGGTGTGGGAAGAGGGGATTGAAGTTAGAGATGGAGCGAGGAGAGCAATTACCTCCAAAATTCCCATCGACACTGAAACTGCTGGAGAATGATTGGCGACCATGCATTTTCACCAGAGTCAGTGCTTTGGAAATACGGCCGCTTTGCAAGCCGCTTGTCCTGCCACAGCATTGGACATGTAAACCAGCGAGATCTTCGATCTTGGCTACTTTGTCAAGAGTAGCAAAGTGCATTTTGGAGCCTTGTTGCATGTGAACTTCACGACTGCTAGAGCGAGAAGCGGAGCCGTGAACTTCTGGCATGCCGACGTCAGCAAGTATCGTGTTATTGATATCCATCCGATTTTCGTCGATCTTGATAAGCGCCCAGTCCACTTCATGCTTTATCCCAGCGCGTTTCCACCTCCTGACTCCGGAAGAGGCGTGGACGAATCCAAGGGAGTGGGAGGCAAGATGCTCATCATCACGATCCTCCACGGTGGGAAAAAATCCGTCTTCCACGTCATCGATCGCTGGCTGTGTGACGATTATTCGAGGCTCCTCTCCCGGATCAACTCCAGCAGTATCTCCAATGGAGGCCGCATCATAATCATCGTCGTCATCATCGTCATCCCCATCGTCAGTGGAATAACCGTCTGAGAGCCAGTAATCATCATATGCCTCGTCAATACTTGGTGCTATAGATCCATCATCTGCGTCTTCTTCATCATCGGATATCTCAAATGGATACAAGGCTTCTGGTGGGTCCTCATCATGCCATGAATATGCAAAATCCTGGTCAAATGTGTCACCTCCCAGAGTCCAATTACCTGCCGAGCGAGGAGGAAGGTCCTGGCCGGAGTCGTCTTCCTCATCATCGCAGGGAGCGTCAAGCATGTGGTGTACTGTCATTCCGTAAGGCATTCCATCGACCAGGATTGCTCCTCCATAGGAAACCGGCGGTAGATGTTCATCGAGTCGAAATGCTCCTATTGATGCTCCACAGACAGGCTTCGGTTGATAGTGTGGGTTCAGATCGACCTGGGTAGTGTCGATGACAGGACGACTATTCGTTTTCGGCTTTCTACGTTTTCGGCGAGGGACTTTTGAGCGGGTAACATCGCCCCGAATCACAATGAGATCCCAGTTTTCTCGATCGTAATCGAAGTACTTCTTGAGAGCAACTCGAACTCTCCGGATACTGGTACACGAGACACATATTGTGGTCTTTGCTGTTTCTGCAGTTTCCCCAGCCACCATTAAAGAAGCGCTGCAGGATTCAGGAGAGTCCTTCAAGATCTTCTGAAGAAGTTTGCTGAGTTTCGGCATGAGCATCATGTTCCATTTCCGCAAATCCTCGTCGGGTATTTCGACATTGGACCACTTCTTCAACGTCCGTTTCCGTACTTTCTTCCCATTAACGTCGCTTTTCTCCTGTAATCCATTTGATTCACCGTAAGTAGTTCCATCATCCGCCATATCGATTGGCATGGTTACATCTGGTTGACGGCCTATATTGTAAGGGCTAACTTCTTGGATGGACGAACTCGTTGGCTCAATAACGAGAGGTGGAGGAAGCGACTCATCCAGATCCAAAGCAGGTGGAGGATTGAAGACATCTAGGCAAGCACAGCACCAACTAACTTTCCCAATTGTGTACACAAAATTTTTGGAGAACGCGTTCCACTCATCCGATGTACTTGGGTCATGCCATGGATAATAGTGGGTTTGTCGGATTCTCAGTCGTAGATCTGTCATTGGTTCGGTAGAAAGGTGGAAATTGGGCGCATCGAGGCAAAGTTGGACTATCTGCAGATAGGAGTTTCCACACTTGGGTGCCAGCCGTTTGACGTAAACGTTTTCAATTCGCGATTTGAACATCGAATTGTTATATTTCATCTTCCAGAGTTTACTGAGTGGAGTCCACAAGCCAATTTCGAGCAACACTAGACCTAGGCTGTATAGATCGTATGACCAAGACGAGTTATCTGTGATGACTCGACGGTCGTCAGGATGGCGGTACATGCTAGCTGATAAAGGCTCAGGAACTGCATTCTTATCTTCGCCGTCGAATTGAGAAAGGGAAGTGAGGTATGGGTGGCTGAACTCTGAGCTTGAGTCATCTAAGACTCCTTCATTGGAAACCTGGAAATCTGGGAATACCAAAATATTGTTGCTATTTATATTTCCGTGTACGACATTCTGACTCCTGAGATGAAGGACCGCCAGAACCAAGTGATATGCTAGGCGAAATCGACTTTCAAGATTCGGAATTGGACAATCTGGTCGGCCATCTCCGGAATGGAATAGCGAGACAAGAGGTCGAGGTTTAACGTCTCTCGGTACATCGGAGGGTTGTCGTAGTAATGGGAACATCTCAATAGGGATCTGATAAACAAACGCGTAGCGAGAATATGTCATGTCAATAAAATAGCCAATGAATTTTAGTAATCCAAGATGGGATACCCTCGAGTTCTCGACCAGACGTTGTAGGGTGTCGAATAATTGAGTAAGCCGCTCTCTCCGGGGAAACTGAAGAGAATTCCGCATCTCCAACATTATCGGAGAAAATTCTACTAGAACTGGTACGATTGGGCTCTGAATATGGACTGCCAGGGAACGAGGCATCGCATGGGTATCTAAATGCCCAATCACTCTGGAGTTCGCAGATTCCGCAACCGCTTCGTACGGGGGCGGATTGGAAGCGTGGGAAATTCCGCCACGAGAGAGATGAAGGGAAGATTTTTCGATATAAAACTGTTTAGTTGGGAGGAATGACTCCGGGAAAACCTTCTGGAAGTCTTCGGCAATCTCATCAGTCGCCCCAAAAGAGTGGTGGCTTTTTGCGAAACCCGACTTTCCTGGCTGAAGTTCTGATAAGGACTTTTTCTTTGATGATAACGGCTTTTTATCCATCGATTGACAGGGTTCAGTCCGAAGCGAATAGAACGACTCTTTTGAAGATTTCGAAGATTTCGGAAGCAATGGACGAGCTTGACCTTGGACTTGGCCTTGACTTTTCGTCCCTGCCTGCGAACCTGAATTCATACTCATGCTCATGCTCATATTCCTCCGCGATCGTGAGAGATCATATAACGTCTCGATATGCTGGGTCAATTCCTCCAACAGCTCCTTAGACCTTGCTATCTCTTCAGCGGTGTATGTCGCCTTGACAGCGCTAACCTGGACCAATCCATCAGGCGACTTGACACCATCAGGTTGCTGGAGCCTCTCCGCCTCATTGAGGAGCTCTTGGATGGAAGACATCACACTCGCGACAACGTCAGAAAAGCCAGCCTCGCTCAGCGCTTCGTCGATATCATTTGGTTGGGCGGCGCTCGCATCGCTCCAGTCCAAGCCCCACGCCAACAGTCTATCTTTCTGAGTCCGGAAATTTCGATTCAACGCAACGAGCTCTGGATCATCATTGGCCTTGGATGCGCTGGAGACGCTTTCACAGGAGGACTTGGTATCCGTGTACAGCTTTGTAAGCCGCCTTTGGAAGAAGGCGCCGCCATGCCTAAGGACAGACATGGATGCGATGGAGACGCTTATTTAGAAATGAATGATAATTGATAGCTGTCAAATTCCTCACTATTAATCATTAACCGGTATGGAAGGCATTCAGGTATGTACGCTTCCAAGAGCAGGATTCAACTAACGATCTAAAGACATCTCAAGCCATCGGGAGACGACGTCTTGGAGATGAAGTACGGAGTACGATGAACCACAAAGTTGCTGCCTAACAGTGGCCAATAAGAGAGCCGCAGATTGCAGCCAGCGCTAGATGATCACGTGGGGAACCTTTCCGGCCCGCCAAGCCAAGGCAGCACAATTATCAAGGCAAACGAGTTATATTTCCTCCGCAGCTGAACTCATTGCGAATCGACTTATTTACGAAGACAGAAAAGAGTAATGTACATAGTATAGGAAAGGATAGGCATCAAATGGAACATATTTTTTTGGTTATTGTAGAGAAAATCAATTAGTCTTCACCCGCTGAGAAAAGGGAACACAGTCGTATCATGAAGTAATCATCCGCCGCGTTACACCAACGTCCTTGGCCCGCTTCTCTCCGAAGTTATGAAGTCGCTCTCCAATTAAATACACGTCATCACGAATACTCGCCCTCCATATGGCGATTTGGTTTCGAGCCAGGCGTAGAGCCCAAAGGAGAAGCACCCCCATTAATGTCACAGGGAAACAGTAGCGGTATACTTCGGAGTGCACCAAGGCCGGCGAATCGCGGAAGATCGTGGAATTTAGAACAGCTCCTATTGGCAAGGGCCCTAACACAGCAACGAAGGCAACCAATGTAGCAGGAACAATAAATGCGCGGGTAGCCAGTTGAATGTCCGGATCCATCCAGCCGTTGCGTAGGACCGCGTTGAGGGCATTGGCTGGGCGAGAGCCGCGATACCATAATATAAGTCTGACGGCCATGCGCACGTATAGCACGCCGAGCGTCCAGTCTTGAACGAAGTGGATGACGTGGACTTCGCCACTTCGAATGTAGGTGTGCAGAGGAATCAGAACGTAGAGCTCGGTAATTAAGGCGAAAAGGGAAGGGAGGAATAGAGCATACGCCGCTCCAATATACAGGAGACTGAGAAGTTTCACAAGGATGTTGTATGTGTGTGGGAATGCTTGTCTCGGGGATGCAAGGTATGGTTGCAGACGTTGATTGAGCGCCGGTAGACCGTGGCGACGACAGTACACGAGCGCATAGAAGGCTCCACCTACCACATATATGCCAGCAGAAAAGGCATAGATGTCGTTCACAGGAACATGGCTAGGGAAGAGTGAAGAAATCATCCGTCGCCCGATTGCCAGAGGCACTATGGTGTACCCAAGCCCAGTTACCGCAGCGAAAACCCATATCATGAAAATAAATGTCGCGATCTTGATCTTGAACGTTGGCGGAACATAGACGTGAGCGAACATACTGTTAGACTTGCCATGAAGGCCATCCTCGTGATCCTCGTTGCCGTCAATACGCTCATTATTTTCGTCAACTTCCAAGAAAACAGACCTGCCCTTGGGAATTCGAACCTGATCCGATCCTGGAGCTCGCACAAACTTGCCATCTCGTAGAAAAAAATTACTACTGCTTTCATCTTCCAGGGTATCCCGACTGCGGAAAATCCAGTCACGCCATGTTGGATATGCCCTTCGACCTTCCTCGTCCTGACGCCGTTCTCCAAACAGGAAGTGCGTCAGCCTCAATTTGCGCGCGCACATATGGAACCACCAGTCGTACATTTTATGCAAGCCATCTGATGGGCGGATAGAACGAATCGCCAACGGCATTACAAAATTGTAGAAAAGTAGATCAACCGGGAATTCCAAAACGGGCTCATTGGACGACCAGTGTATCGGGAGTACTTCACGGAAAGTCAAGGATAAGCCCCAGACAACACCGCCGAGGCAAACGATAACAAGACCACCGTACACAAGTGCGCTGAAAGCGATTTTACGCAACTGGGTAGTGATATTGCGCTCAAGAACATCGCGTACGGGGTGGAATGTAGGATCGTCGGGATCACGGATGAAATCTATATATTCTTGTTAGTTCAAAATTGGTATTTCAAATATCCAGGGGATATACTCTGTACTCACATAGGACGCCATTCCGCATAATCTTTCGGCACATGGACACGAAAAGGGCAAAATGGAACATGTAACAAGTCCCAATGAACCAATGGACGAATAGCGAGGTGAACGGCGCATCCAGCATGAATGCAGTTCGTGAAGCAAATGTTGCACCGCGGAAAAGTGGAAGGAGGGCAATGTCGAGCAGAATGCCACAATATAGTGGGAACACGATCATTTCGATACCAATGATGATGATCACCTTCATTACTCCACCAGCTTGTTGCAAAACATCAGCCACCGTCCCTTCTGCCCGATTCTCTTGAGGTGGCCTGGGATAACAGAGAAGAGAATTGGAGATAAACTACCCCAAGAAGCGAGGCAAAGCAATACCCAACTATAATTGCTATGATTCGATCCTTAGTGTCCCATTGTGCCAACTCATGGTTCAATGACAATGAAACTGTTGGCTCGACTCCGCCGACCTTTAGGCTGGGCCAATTTTCTTTCTCCAAAAAGAAGAATGCAGACTTTCCAACGGTCACAACAGCGACAGCAGCTGCGTTCAACAATTTCATAGGTTCAAGAGGAAGTATGGATGTGGTGAGTCGTTGCAAGGAATCCCGTTCGAGGAGAAGTAATGGGACGTCGTAGAGAACTGTCTTCCCAACGTTCATTACAAAGTTGAAAACTGTTGCGACTCGCCTTTGGTGGATCCTCAAGGCTTGGTGAGATAAAACGGAGAACATGGGTAAGTCCGATTCGTGGAATGTGAAGAATGCCCCGAGAACACCTTTAAGGCGCTGGCTGCTACCGTCGATCATAGATAGCGAAGCAGCTGTAATAGCATTACTTGCCGAAAATTTTGTGAGAAAAGGGATGAATCGTCCAAATGTGACGAGGATGTAACGGAGCAGAACGTTCGCCAAGTAAACAACATATCCCAAGCTGCCGAGTAGTGTGTCGACGGTGATGTCAGCAACGAGAGAAACAATTGCAATTGGGACGCCAATAAACAGCCGTATTGGGTTTGTTAAAAGAACGAGGGCGATTTTACCCCATAGGTACGGCAACCAAATCCCAACAACGACTGTGAATGATACGAGCAACGCGCTGAACACACCGTTTTGTAGTAAGCCGACGATAGGACCCTGCATACCGATAAGTTCCAAGATACCTTCCAGATCATCAGCGTCGTCCACAGCATCAACATCGTCGGGGTCGACTGGAGCAAGTGGGCCATCAGCAAATCCAGGTTGGTCCATTGGGTCATGGAAATGACGATGTCCGTCCGGTGCGGCGTCGAATGGAACCTCTTGCGCGGGTTGATCAATGACATGGCCAGCATCGTCCTCTTCTGCTTGGTCGTCACCTTCTCCTCGCTGAGGAAGGGGCACCCCACCCCAAAACCAATTCGAGGCCCGATCAAGAAGATTTTCATGAAGAGGATCTACTGCTTCTATAGGAGGTGGTTGCTGAGGTGGAGATATCAAAGGCTCAACTTCCGCAATTTGGAATGGATTATGCTCGTTGCTGTCAAGTTCTGAAGCGGGCTGTTCAGTGGTAGTTGAGGGGCTTGAGGAGTATCGCACCGCTTCTTGTTGTAGAGAGGAGTGATCTACGATATTATTAAAGGGAGCATGGGATGATAGGTCAACTGTATGAGTAGGTCTGGATGGCCCGGCCTCTTCGGAATCAAAGGACTCAGGTAGAGTAAAGGGCTCGAGGCTTGGTGAAAAGGACCCTGCAGGTATATTAGAATTTGTGTTGGGAATTCCAAACCTCACGGGAAATGGCCGCTCAGGTTCATCGTAGTTTTCGAATGGCTTTTCTTCAATGGATTTAGCACTCGCAGAAAAAGACTGACGTAGGTCGTGATCACGATTGATCGGCGCATCAATCGAACCGTTGGGGGCTGAAGCAAGCTCTTCGTTGTGTTCCTGCACATCTCTCGCAGACACTTCGCCGAATTTGAATCCCTGTTCACCCACACGTTCCAATTTTTGCATTGCTGCAATTACCCAGGCCAGCTCTTCTTGACGTCCTTCTTCCTCGATTAATTTTAATATTTCCGTTGGATTTCTCCCACCACGAGTCCACAAGTCTTTGAACACATCAAGACCAGGCCACTCTGCATTGGCATGACTGTCAGAATTTGCCACTATTTCGTCATTGGCTTCGCGAGTCGTGGAGGGGTGCTCGGGAATATTGTCTTCTTCATGGACGTGGCTCGAATTGCTTTCAACCTCTGAAGACCAATGTTGGCTATGTGATTCAAAGTTGTCCGTGGTGCGATAAGGATGTTGTGATTGGACTGATGATAGAGGCGCCTCGATTGGATGAGGATGGCCCCAATCTGGAAATCCGGTGTCCCGGTGTCCAAGTATATCTTGATTTTCTTCTGGATGTACTTCTTGGTTTTCTTCTTGATTTAGTTCTTCGTTTGGTTCATCATGGGCTGCCTGATTGTGGGCATGCTCGACAGGATCTGGTCGTTGGTGGCCAGCAGGGTGATTCGCTACAGCATCGACAACAAGCTGGGCAACTGCTTCTCGATCTGCCTCAGCAAGATTGATCACAGGTTGCTGCTGCACCACCCATTCTCTAATCAAAAATACAAGAATAAAAGCAATAACAACAGAAAGGGTAATTATCTGTCCTTCGAAAGTATCTATTAAAATATTATTCAGGGTGGAGTACGGGGTCAAGTTGTTTAAAAAGGAAACATCTGAAAGCCAGGATGGTTGACGAAACCGTCGAATAGACCCGCTTGTTGTATTCGTCGAGTTTGAGCCTGCGGCGTCGAATACCGGTGAAGTCGTTGTTGCCCAGGTGCCCCATAGAAGCTTCTTCATGATGGTGTATATCAAGGGCTCGCCAGCTGAAAAGTTGAGCATGGCAGAAAATGGTGAGATGAAGGGTGGAAGTGTAGGCGCATTCTGTTTACCTAACCCCGTAGAAAGGTTGTTTGATATGAGTGTGTTGGCAGGAGACGTTCCGTGTGCGGCAAGCTGATCGAGCGTCTGGGCTTGCTGGGGGCACACGCGAGGCGTGGTAGAATTCACGGTTTGGCCAACGCCCATCAGCTAACCAAAACAGA